AGGGTCCACATGTCCCTCTGAATCGGTAGATGGTCTGGACTTCCTGAGATGGGTAGTGAGGGGGGGACCGGCTTCCCTTCTCATGTGTCTTTCTGTTCTCGATTTTTTTGTTCTGTTGTGTCCTCTCACAGGTCGTTCCCATCTATGTTAGCGATTCGATGGCGGGCGGGATGGACATATGTTGCTACAGTTCGCTTCCATCTGTGCAGTCTTTTCACACCCCCGCGCCCGATGCTCCTGAGAACTCCTGCGAAAGCCGGTCCCCAGACATTGTCGTCATACCATCGAAACATGGTTATCGTGCACACCGTGTTGCTCGTATGCCCGGACGCCAATTAAGAGACCGGGTTGTGCCATCTGCCAATGTCAACGTCGTGCGGGGTATTCGTCTTGACGACATCATCAACGACGTCGGCGTGTTGCCTTCTGATGACGGCGCAGGACCGGCGTGTGGGTCTCCTGATTTTTCGCTTTGAGGACATTCGCCACCGGCAACTCGCACTGACGATCGTTATGTCCCGGTCGACATGCTTTCGTTGCCGTCATGCGAAGGCAGTGAAGGGGGGGTGGGTCGTGCTGCTCGTTCGTCGGACGTCGACTTGCCAGTCGGAGAAGACACCGCGATATCTGCTTTGTCTATGTTGTGCGGTGAAAAAGGAAAGAGAAAAAACATGTACAGACTAAGAAAAAAAAGTTCTTCAACATCCAGCTCCACTTTCGAACATTGATGTAGCATCGACGAGTGCGAGGCCGTCCTCCGCAAAACATGTTGCAAGATGTTTCGCTGTCTTTCTAAACTTAGAGTGCAGGACGTTATGAAATGTAGACGTGACTACCGTGTTTCAGAGGGCAGGAAAGACGGAAGTGGTGGATGGCGAAACTACATAATTTTATTTTGTTAGTTGACCGTAAGCCCACAGTCAAACCGATAGTGCAGTTGCACCCTGTCTGCATTACTGCATGGTGTCTTATACTCGGCGTCGGTAGGAACACATACAAAAGATACATCTATGACCTCGATGACGGAACCGTCGAAGCTGTTCATGGCCATGAAGGTCGTTCGCGGACAACGGCGACCTACGCCATTACATGGTCTGCGTTTGAGGACATCATCTTGGACGAGTCTGATCCCATGCCAGATCAGACTGAGACAGGCCCGGACTTCGAGATCAGAAACCGCATTCGGCTCCCGTCGGTATTCGCCACAAAGAAAGACATCTTCCTCAGTATTCGTAGACGATTATCTAAGCTTGGAGTCTGTTGCGCGTCGTACCAGGTCTTCTGCAAGATGTGGAGGGACTTCTCCTGGCACATTCGTCTCGCAAGGGTGACCGACCATGAGAGATGCAACGAGTGCATTAAGAATAGCATCCTCATAGAGGGTGCTCTGCCCGAGCCGAGGAGGGCGCTTGTCGCAAAACAGAAAAGTCATCTTGCGCTACAGTCAGCACACCGGAAACAGTACAGTGTGTGGTCCGCTGATTCAGAGCTCGGGCCGAAAGAGAGTTTGTGTATCATCATCGATGGAATGGATCAAGCAAAAACAACGATACCCCATGCATCGAGAAGACGTTTGTCAAAAGAAATGTCGAATTACACGATGATGAAAACAAATCTTACTGGGATAATCGCACACGGTAGGACACCATCGCTCATTGTCCACACGTGGTTTCCGTACCTTTCGCACGGCTCAAACTCGGTCGTCACCTCGATCGCCAAAGTGTTGAGAGATGTTCAGGCACGCGAGGGGGCGCTCCCGCTAAAGTTGCGGGTGCAGGCCGACAAATGTGGGGGACAAAACAAAAACAAGTATGTGTTCGCCTTCATTGTCATGCTAGTCAAATTTCGTATATTCGAGATCGTCGAAATGAGGTTCATGATAGTGGGTCACACACACACGGACATAGATGCAAAGTTCAGCTTGTTTGCTAAAAAGTTGAGCGGTTGCGATGCGTATACTATGGATGAGCTCTTCGATGTCCTCAAAGCGTTCTGCGAAGAGGAAGTCGATTGCACATTGCTCACTGAAATTGCTGACAAGAAAACCGCCATAGATTCATACATTGACCATAAAATCAAGGGTCATGCCACGCCACCCCTCTTCCGATTTTACATGGATGGGGACAACCCCGCCATGATGTACAAGGAGTTTTGCACTGACAAAAAATGGCAGTCGGACACTGGCCCTGTGTATTGGTTTGTAAGGGACGCAAACAATGGGTGGGCAGTGCCTTAGTGGGATTTCCAACCTTGCCGTGAGTCGCCTAATCCACTGGCAGGCAATTTCGTTAACGGGATGGCGGGGGTACGTGTTCTTCATAAATCGTGGGAGAATACACAAAACCAATGGGTGACACAAGACGAACACACAAGAGCAATAAAACGTAGGCGCTTGAGCTATTGGACCGACCATCTCAAGAAGTTTGAAAACATATCGCAAGAGGAGAGCGGCACGGTGCCCCTTCAAGGTGCCTTCAGGCTTGCCCCATGCCCGATAAACAAGATTTCCCGTTACGTGCGCCGCATGTTCTCGACTCGCCACCGAGGAAACCTTGCTTCGTCGGTTACAAAAAAGACGCTCCCAAGCCGGAGTTCAAACCGCACGAGTTTGTCGCCGTGAACAACTTCGTCGTGTTCCGCGCACCCGACGAGTATGTTGCAAAGGGATGCACATTCTGGATTGGACGATTTCAGGAGCGGGACGATAATCGCATCCGTGTCAAGTACTGGACTCCTTGCGAGAGGGAGCGTGATTTGACAAAGCTGTATGCGGGCGCATGGGAAAAATCATGGAAGGTCGAAACAGAAACAAACGACGGGTGGCAAGACCTCGACGCCGTTGTGTGGGCATGGTCCAACAATAAACGTTCTGAAACAGGTATGCGGATCCCGAAACGAGAAGCTCTGAATGCACAGTTGTCGTTGGTTGTCCCTGACAAGACGCCTTCATCAACGCACGATATGGGATCTGCTTCAGACACATCTGTGTAGTTGTGACGTGTGACATGCGTAATGGAGATCATCTTTTGAACACGAACAAATTAGTTCACATCGCTAATTGCTCCATTGGATTGCGTTTTTCTCCTTCATTCATTGTGTTTAGAACGTTTGAATCGTCGGACCGGAACCGCAACGAGAAATGGGGGACACCTGTGCGCTGGCAGGAACTCATCTCATAGAAAACAAGAGCGCAAATGAGAGTTGTCGGTATAGACTACACAGACTCGTGCGCATCTTGGCCCTCGATTGAGTTGTGGTACGACGAGATGCGAGATGAAGTTTACAAGCTCGCCAAGACAATAATGTCGGATGCGAACTTCAGAAGCCACGACTCCGGCAAATGGATTGAAGTGTTCTACGGATTGGGGTTTGTTCACATGTGGGGCAGGGGGGGTGAGCATCATGGATCGGTAACGTGCGTAGCGTTCTGCTCAGACAGTGGTCTGACACCGTGCGCAACACGGATTGAACGAACGAAGGTGTCGTCGACGTTCAAAAACAGCAACTACAGGAGGGCGACGCTGAAGCTTGTCAGACGTCTATTCAACTAAATCAAAGATGCAATGTTGCATGTCATCAACGAAAGGTCGAGGGTCGCCATTCACGTGGCGACGCCCGTGATAACATGCCGCAACGAAGAGGGTGAAACGAAAAAACTTAAAAAAACTAACACCGTCACAAAGTTTAATATCGTCGATCATATTCATCGGCACGAAAGTGGCAAACGGAACAACCTGCAATCCGTCTTGCGTGCTTATCCGCAATGACCGACGTTCATCTGTGCTTTTGATGTATGTGGTTTTTTTTTTTTTTTTTCTCTTTATCTTTTTCGTACTGGTCCGTGCAGTATGGATCCGGAATGGATGCAGAGGCAGTTAAGACAAGATTGGTGGGGAACGCAAATCAAATGAGGGGAACTTATATCAGACCGGCTGAGGAGATAACGTAACGCCATCGGACTTGTCACCTGGGATTTTGCATATTACGAACCGTCACTACACTTGTATCCTCTTAGCGCAAGAAGAAAGATTTACAACCTCGTGGGGGTGTGCGACCGTTAGAATAATAATAATTACAAGAAGGACGGGAATGCAAGATACAAGGAGGTATTCTACGGTTACGGCCTTGTGGCTGCCCCGGTGACAGAGAAATGCAGCGCCACCATTGCATGTGTTGTTGTTCAATACCACGAAGGGCTTACAATATGTGCAACGGAGACATGGAGACAAAAGATCCCGCGGAGTGATGCAAGAGACTCGATGGTGCGAGCGTACAAGCAGCACGTTAAACAATATTGTATTCACACACGGGATGCAATGTTAGAATTCGTTGCTCGGAGGACTGCCATCACTGCTTCTATCTCAGCAGTCATCGTGGAGAACGAAGAAACAACGGGGGTCAACCGCAAATTCAAAAAAATCAAGTTAACCACCAACTTCAACATTGCGAAGAGTGTACTCCGTCGAGCCAACGGTCTGAGCAACGACCTTGTTCACTTGTGCCGCTGTAGCACTTCTGGACATTTTGTTGTACAAAAGTTGTAGCTTAGCACTGTTGACGGAGATGGCAATAGAGTAGATCATGCGCTCGTACGAGTGCTCATATCGTTTTTTTTCGTCATGTGCCGGATTTTAAGGATTTTTTTTTCAAAATTATGTTGAACTGGATTTCCACCTTTTCTACGATCATGTACGACTGCACATCAGCGGTAGTGTGGAGG